CAGTTATCTCTCATCTCAAAATTGACTAACCAATATTTCCCGTTCTGTACTTACTTATCAAAACCCATAAGTTAGTATCCAGCGATGATCTCGTATCTACCGATCCGTCATTATTTAAGGTTAGACCTATCATTAGCCGCGTGGACGGGCCAACGGATAGAATAACGTGGTTAATAACCCTAATACTTACTCAGTTGTTGAAGTACATTCCAGCTCATCTAACGAACACCCAAATGTTCCTGGATCGTCTACGTAACGCGCGACCCAACAGCGCGTACGTGGTGGAGTCCTTCGACGTCACTGCCCTCTATACGAACGTGTCGAATGACTCCGCTATGCAAGCCATAAACGAGCTCCTTATACAACACGAAGGAGCAATAAACATGTACGGCTTCTAGATTCAGCAGTTGATGACACTCTTAAAGGAGTGCCTAAACTGCTCAATCTTCAGATGGTCCAGGAGATATTACGCACAAATGAGGGCTGGCAATGGGACAACGACTGGTACCAAGCCTTGCCATTGCATTCATGTCTAAGGTGGAAGCGCCAGTAATCGACCTCGATCATCCCTCTCACACGAAAAGGGCGCTTGTGAGAAACATGTATCGAACAGCTACCAGCGTGTGCACAGGAAGGCAACAGAGAGAGGAGTCCAGGAACTTGGCGCGGCAAATAGCCATTTTTAATGGCTACGAAACCGTAGCTCGAGATAGGTGTAGAGGAAACCACAGGTGCCCCAACGATAACTCTAGCGACAACAAGGTCCTGTTTATACTGCTCTTCATTTCAAATGAAGTGTAGCTATAAAACGCTGTTTAAGAAGGGCCAGTCTAGAAAATTTGGTAACGATAATCGAAATACCTCCGAGTAATCTAAGGCACCAGCTAGTTCGTAACCGCCTATACGACCGTCTATGTGCAACGCAAAATTGCATAATTTGCCCCAATGGTAGAGACGGTGACTACATGAGTTCGGGTAGTCTATCTGATCTCTTGTAAAGTATGCGGGGACGAATACGTTGGCGAAACGGGTAGACCACTCTGCGTACGTATAAAAGAACACCTAGTCGGCAAACGTAAGCTAAGTACTCCACTAGCTACGCATAGCACGCAGAAACATAACGGAGAAGATTTTGAAGGATTACGATCTTTGCGCAAGAATCGAAAACACAAGCGCGCAAAACTCTAGAGGCATTCTGGATTAATTCCAAAAATCCGAAAATGAACCGCAGGGAGGAATGCCTCGTTATCACGCGTGATATTGGACAGTAAATAAACCTGTTATTCTGATGGGAGGAGCACATTACGCTTCCATATGAATTTGGAGCGGTCAGTCTTCACGCGACATACTCAGTGGAAGACTCATAGAAAGCGGTGAGTGTGCAAAACTATGCTAAATGTGATTGAAATCTTGGTTTGGTTTAGCGTTTTCTCTGTTTGGTTATGGAGGTGTTTGGCCGAATGGATTGCTGTCAACTTGACTTTTCCAGGCACTAAGGAAGGCGAAATCCGCCGAAACGTCAGCTTGTGCGTAAATAAAGAAACAAAATAGCACCTCGTGTTTGCTGAACAGAAGTAGAAAGATATATTCAATCAATGCCGAGGTTAATAGAAAGTCGGACTTGGGAGTTACTAAAAATAGAGCGTCAATTATAATCTGTTCACGAGGAGATATCTATGCACTCTATATCACCAAGGTAAGAATGAAAACAGCAATTAATTCAAATTATTTGTGCCATTTGGTATTCTTAGCTTCAGATTCTACGACAAGAATTCACCCGGATGGTGGGGTGGTGAAGTGCGCTACTCCCCGGAAAGGACAATTGCGCGCGTTCGTTCCTCGCCGCATACACCTGCGTCGAAAGGGTGGGCACAGAGTCGGTTGTTCTTTGTCCTCTTCACTATATAATCTTTTCTGGGATACAATAATACCCATAGATAACTCGAAAGACCGACTTTCTGTGAACCTCGGCATAAATAGTTGATATATTTATTTATGAGATCTTATAAACAACGACAACAACAACGACAACGAAGATCTGTACCAACCTCGCGTCAGCTTAAGAAGATCAATTTATAAGATCTCATAAATAAATACCCATAGATCCGAACGTATCCGAAAACTTTTCCAACCAGCACGCGACAAAGCAAGGTTAGGTGATCATAAATGGCCAACGTAGCGTTGTAAATAGGCTGATTATTGGGACAAAAAAAAATTACTTGTGTTGTTGAAGGACGAGCTTTACCGTAGTTGACCAAGTTGACCACTTGGGCTTAGAATAAAATAGGCATACTTTGCGCTGCCATTCTTCTTGTGCCAACTAATTCACATTTTCTGGAAAGCTGTGCCTAACTCGGAGATTATAACTTACCAAGCTGTTTTGTTTCCTTTTACCTTGCGAATATTGATTTTTTAATATTACTATAAATGTCTTTTACAAGAGTCCGTATGGCGCAGTGGTTAGAGGCGCCACTGCGACACACACGTGGAACCGATCCCTGCGCCCATGGCCCACGGTGCCCTCCATACCTCCGGGGTCGGCAAATTGGTGCCAGACTTGTCTGAGAGGTTAGGAGCACTGGCTCGATACATCGGTAGGTCACCGCGAGTTATTGTAAAGGTCAGATTTGCATTAAATCACTTCCAAACGATGCTTAATGAACTCGAGAGCATAGTGCATCCCTCAGCGATTGATCAACGCCGAGAGCTTTACCTTTTAGAGCTTTTATGTCATTTACTATATTATCCCTCTATTCGTTATTTTTTTTAAAGAGCTGAGTTTTAGAGGTAACTAACGTTGGATGCTTCAATTTTCTGGTTTTGGCTTTTTGCTATGAAACTGAGCTGGTTTTGTTGCATTTCTTCCCAGTTGAGCTTCATTTACACCAAAATATTGATGCCATGTAGACAAACATTTGATATTATAGAAGGAGGTTATTACAAGTTATAAGCGATATAAAGGTGGACAGTGAAAAGACTAGAAAGAATGGCAAAAAAAAGATCTTAGCAAGAATTTTTAGGTAAAGTTAACAATTAGGAATGTCACTTGTATCATTTGATTTTTTTTTTGTCGAATATCAGCAGTTCCGACCGTTTCTCGTCCATCCGACATGAACCTAGATCAAATGGGAACACCACGTTCTTTCTATCCTGCTGCTTTCCTCCTTGTCTCTTCTTCTTTCTCCTTTTTAGCCTCTTCTCTGTCTGCCCGCCCTCATTCTTTCTCCATCTTCCTCTTTCTTCTTCTCGTTGTCCTTCTTTCACTGTGCCTCTGCCTTGATCTCCCATTCTTCGTCGAAGAAATCGTCAGGCGTTGAGCTAAGGACTTTTCGACGTTGTTTTAAATTTTTTTTTACTTCAGATTTTTTACTGCGCAGACGTTAGAAGTTCATGGATTCGATTCGTCTTTTCACACCCACCTTTCACGAAGCTCTTCCCACATTTTACGTGTGGTTTCGACTGCTGCTTGAGGGTTTTCCTTTCATCGCTAATGTCGTTGAATGCTGGTTTAGTCGATTGTCTTTTGAATCCTGAGATAGCCGGGCTAGAACATGCCCGCTTGGAGTGCAGGGAGTGATTTTTCGCTGACAAGTCCGGTACCAATTTCCCAACCTCGGAGGGAAAGATTAATTCCTGCACATCTTTACAACTGAGTTATTTGCCCCTTCCAGTTGACTTCAATAACGAGTTATTAATCATTGTAACATTCTGAAGTGCTTGTTGTTTTCTTTCAAAATAGACTTAAAACTGCGAGCCTCTTGAAATCTGTTGGGGTTATTTCCGCATTTAATTCAATAATTTCCTTAGTGGAAAGATGATGGAGTAGCTACCATGCCATGGACCTGCACTTTTCTGTTGTGTTATGACAATTTACACGTAGCAATAGTTACCTGATTGTTCGTAGAAGAGTTGTTCGCTAGAGATGCAATTTTCTTATGGATCTGAGAGATACTTACGTATTCAACAGAACCGCTGTAATTTCTCAACACTTCCATAATCGCCTGTTGCAGTGGCATTGAATGGCTTCCTCAAGTCGATGACAATGCTAAATCTCAGATTCACATGATATTATGTGTTTAGAAAACTCACCACTACAGACCATTTTTTAAGAAGTGTTTGCTTAAGAGACAGCCATTGTTCATGAAATGTTTTATTATGACAAAATTAGCACCTGCATGAGTCATATGTCACTCACCAGCGCCTTGTTGCACTTTCCTGCCTTAAACGAACATAGATCAGCAATAATCATTGCAATCTTAAAAATTTTTGCAATTCTGAGCGGTGAGGCCTTGATTTTGGGGCCCGCGAAACAGGTTTTTTCATCGAGGCTCATATCTTGAAGAGGCAAAAAGATTGGACAAGCGGAAACACCTCAGTCGCTATATCATAATTTCCATTCACTTATCGCTAGTCCTTTCAATTTCTGCGCTTACATTAAAGTACTTAAAGATCTAGAATTGTTTTTGCTTTTCCAAAGTTGACTCGCAGCGCAAATATAGAATTATGAGCGAAGATATGATTGAAATCTTGGTTTAGGATTTTCTCTGTTTGGTTATGGAGGTTTTTGGCCGGGTAGAGTGCGGTCAACTTGACCTTTCCTGGCTCTGAGGACGGCGAAATCCGCCGAAACGTCAGCTTGTACGTAAATAAAGAAATAAAATAACACCTCGTGTTTCCTTAACAGAAGTATAAAGAACTATTCGATCAATGCCGATGTTAATAGAAGTCAGTCGTGGGAACCGTAATAACATTTTCGAAAAGTTGATTATGCTGTTGGAGTAATAGAGCAAAGTTCCATAGTTACAGTTTTTCAAAACGACTACTTCTCAACCAGCTAGAAGTCTTCTATTTTGACAGGGAATGTGAGAAAAGTTGAGCCAGTATTGTGACAACAGCCACTGCAGGCTCCTCTTCAGATGACATGGACCTCTCACGATTGACGTCGAACGATTTTTCACATTTTTCACGGATAAAACAATATTTGGAAACTCCTTAAGGGAGGTTCACTAGCGCGACATATTCCTCCATGCCAAGACATCCAAACAAATAAACATGATTTTTGAAGATATTGAATGATGTGGATTAACACTTCCACTATCCTTGTGGATACGGTGACTGTTGTGTCAAGTTCTATGACAAGGTTTACCCTATACGAAACTACGTCATAATGTTTTCTTCTAACGTCTCTTAGATGTTTTCACTATATCTGCTGTTTCAATCAGAACAGCACCTTGACACTTGCGTATCAAAACCAACAGTTTTCGGGCGCAACAAGTTTCATAACATTTCCGTGAAGGTGTAAGTGGCCCAATCCTAATTCTCATCGATTTTCTCATTTTTGTCCTTAAAAAGATTAAGCTAAACTTGGAAAATCGCTATCGTTCTCAATTCTGGTTTCCTTAACCTTATGACTTTACCTGATGACTTCGCGGAAAGCATGACTCTCTTTATTGAACATCTTCATGTTTACAGAAAATACTTCAGCTTCATGATACTGAAAGAAGATTGTATTGATCGACAACCTTTCAACGACAAACGTCCGGCAAGGGCGCTTAGTGTCTCAGAGGAATGATTATTTATAGCTGTGGTCACTTTATGACGACACTGCTCTACTGCCACAGATGTCAGATAGCTAGCGGTCGATGTTTTCTAGTCCGAATCAGTCCGATGACATCGCACTTAAACCTAGTGCCTCGTAGATCCACGGCAGGAAGGTCCGATATCAGCACTAATAAGTTGTCACTACAGAGCATCGCAAAAGTTCATCCAGATTTAAGTATACGAGACCGACTCTGAGATTGCAACACCCTTTCCGTCATTATCATACTCAACGCTGTTACATCACTGGGCACATTCTTCTTGCTGTTTTTACTTAGAAGTATCCAGTAATAGTCTGTTCTGTTTGCTTGTGTAATGCCGGATAAGCTGATACATACTTTTACAAGCTATCCCTGTTTGTATGGTTGTGTGTATCATTTCGACGGATCAGAATATAGACGTTCGTTTTCTTTCGTATCAGTCTATAGTTATTTTCTATACACGTCGGTCCACCTGCGGGCTCGTCACGCAACTTCTTTTACTTTCCGCAGCTAACTGGTACAAGATGTCTTGTGTTAAACTTAGAAAATCGCTTATTTTGTTTCTTTAACCCGTGGGGTTCAAAACATCTTTTTCACCAACTGCTGACCATTTTGTGATGGCAGCAAAACTTGAGGAGTTGAGGATGCAAACCGCCTGTGGAAGAGACTTTGCTCCATTTATTTAAGAGCAGTTTTAGTTTCTGTAACCGCTACTTGATTTCAAACTTTTTTGGCATTGAGATTTCCATAGGAGATAAAAGAAAAATTTGAAATCTTTGAAAGTGGATACGAAATTTCATCAGTCTAGACATCGGCTTGTTCCAGCACCAAAATACCGATTGCTGAATGGTTTTCATTTTCGAAAAATTCTCCTCGATGGAAAAAAGTGCACAAAATATGGCCCTCAGAAACTTAGCAGTTCATTGTAGTAAAGCAATATAGTTTGTGTTCTTAGGCAAGAATTTTTAGCTTCCAATCCTCTTTATTGAGATGGGCGCGTGTGGTCAAAGGCGCCCTGTAACCCATGCGTGGAATCGATCCCCGCACCAATGGCCCACAAAGCCTTCTATCTCTCCGGGGTCTCCAAATTGGTACCAGATTTGTCTGGGAGGATAGCAGCACTGGCTCAATACATCGGTAGGCCGCTGCGAGTCGTTGTAAAGGCCAGATATGCATTCAGTCACCTCCAACGATATTTCGTGAAGTCGAATGCATGGCGCATCCCTCAAGGGCTGATCAACGTTGAGAGCTTTATCGTTCTTTATCATCTACTGACATTAATAATCACTTCACTTTAGCTTAGATATGGTTGCTCAAAGTTAAAAGCAACCACTGTGATCGGACCATGCGAGTGGAAGTCAGCTCATGTTATGACCTAAGTGTTAATGAATGCCTACGTTTAAGGATTTCAAAGAAATCGTTCTCTGCACATGGTATGGGTGAATGAATCATTTAAGTCTGTGGACCCGACCCACTGAAAAGAAAAGAAACTAAAAAGAAATGAAAACAGAAAAATGGAGTTTCTAATTTTCGTGAAGATATGTTCGAAATTCTTCTGAAAATCGTCATCTGCACTACATTATTTCTTCTTTAGCACTTAAGTGCTTTATTCTAACAAACTGTTGAAATCTTAACCTTTTTATTTACTGCCTATTCTTTTTAACGGCAGGGTATGTTGCGAAATATAACTTCTATAATGCTGAGATGTTTCCAAAACTCCGGACTGCAGGTGTCTGCGGTGGGGAACGAACGCGCTATTGTCCTTTCCGGGGAGCAACGCGTTCACCACCACACCATGTGGGTCCTTCGTTTCGCCTGTCTCTCAGCTAGTTCTATCGATCTCTTGCCATCAGCAACCACCCGTCCGGTTAAGATTGTGATTATAGCTATAGCCTCAGCTTAACTAGAATCAATGCCGATTTGGGCTCCCCAGATCAATCCCGTTGACGAGTGATTGCTGATGGCAAAAGATCGATAGAGCCAGCTGAGAGACATGCGAAACGAAGAACCCGCATAGTGTGGTGGTGAACGTCTTACTCCCGGAAAGGTCAATTGCGCTTTCGTTCCCACCGCAGACACCTGCGGTCCGGAGTATTGCTAATATCTCAGCATTATAGAGACTGTTGAAAGCTCTAAGCTTTAGCTAAAGTGGTATAAAATAAAACGGTAGCACAATGTACCATGTTTATCCACAGATTTCCCCTACCATGAATGGTGAATTCTCAGGTGAATAAACATCAACATTGTGACAGGTATTGCATACTGAAGTTTACTATAGGATTATTCATTTGTTGAGGAAGGTTAAAAATTAATTTACGTTAAGAATATTTCATTCTTATGCATTGATCTTTTCTCCATAAACCATTACCGTAGCTTCTTGGAGAAATCGAAAAATCGAAATCCTTAGCGCTCAGGCGCAATCGAATTCGATACCGTAAGATGCAGGTGTGTAGATGACGAAATCTCCTACTGTCTCAACTTTTAGTTCAACTGTTAATTTTGAACTGGCTTGAATTTTAATTGCTCTCTTTTCTTAACGACAGGCCATTTGTGGAATACAACCAAGAGAACAACAACGGTGCGGAAATATAAGGAAAACTCGGAACCTTAGACAGGATTCGAATTTGCGACTGCCCTTTCCGGCGCTCTCGTGCATAATACACTGCACCGATCGAAACCTTTGCTTACCTTTCTCTCAGCAAGTTTTTT